TCTGATGCTGGTTACAAGGTGTGTTTACTTTGTGAAAAGTGGGTGAAATATGTGTATCATACTTTGCTAAAATATTTCCTTTTAAAAGAGTAGCTTAAAATTGTTTTTAAAGTTGGGATGGTGATGATAAAGACAAGGAAAAATATAAATGTGGATCTGAGCTCACAATCTACCCTCATTTCTCTTCCTAGACATTGTATCAGGACTTAAATAGGGGTTAGTGATGATGATGAGTTGTTTTCTCTCTGCGTGTTTGCTTGTTACTGGATAGCATTTTCCTGGTAAAGAGGCAGGAGGAATGAACCAGGAAGTTTCCTGCATGTCACAGGGGTCAACAATAAAAAGCAAAGAGCCTATGCAGTTCACATCAAGGGAAAAATGTGATTAGAGAGGTGGAACATGCAAAGAAACTATCTGAAAAGTGAATTCAGTTGGGAAAGTACAAGCCCCAAAGAGCCCTGAGCAGCTGGTCATGATCAGATTCTTCATCTTGCTGTCAAATGTAATTGTATCTGAGTTGGCAGGGTATTTATTGCTAAAGTCCAAGGGCCAGATTTTACACTAAACATATTTACACATTTACATTTGTGGCCCTATAAACACTCCACGTTTCACTGGCCGTGACATCAAACACATTTACCAACAAAAAGCATATGCCTAATTACAAAATCATAGGGGAGAGGGGAGGCAAGTGGCAGCTGATGGGCAATGAGCGTGCACGCCTGTGTGTGTGCATACGTGTAACCCAGCTGCCACGCCAGGAAACCAGCAGAGACAAGAATGGATGCTGACAATGCTCGGCCCTCTTCACTTGTCTTCTGCTCCCCAGGCCTGTCCTTGCTGGTTCAGTTCTAAAGGCGGAAGGGGACCCCTGGCATTCCAATTAGACCCAAGGGGACCCCCCTGGGGGAGCCCAAAGACAACAGGGCTGTTCCCAGGCAGATTTCTGATTTGGATTGAGTTTGATGCTGTTATGACCTGCAAGTTGCCCCCAAATGACTTTCTGCAGTCAGTAGTACAAACAGGTGTGAGCAAAATGTGCAGCCAGCAGAGAGTTTTTAAACTAAAACTGGAGTCCTTAATTCCTGGCTTTTCTGTTAGTAGGATCACATCCCTACCCATCAATAGCAGTTGTAATAACACCGTTAGTTGCTCCAAGCTTGGTTCTCAGTCAAGCAAGGAAATCGGAGCCATCAGGGCCATCGAGAGGAAAACAAAATGGGTACAACCACTGGCCTCAAACAGTCTTTTTAACAAATGACACCGGCTGGTAGTCCATCAAAATAATCACCTTCCATCAGAATAACCACCTCCCCCAGCTCTCTCAGAGGACAGGCTACAGGAAGAAATGGTGGGTTAAAAAAAAAAAGAAAGAAAGAAAGAAAGAAAGTGCTGGGAAGGGCAGAAGCCTTTCTCCCAAATGGATGCTTACTACATTTACTGTAAGAATTTTGATAATAAATATGCCCAATATTTTAGTTCTATCAGCAGGAAGTTTGGGAAGAAAAGGGCCAAACTTTCCTGCTCAAAGAGCAGGGGACGGGGAAGTAGAGACCTCAGTGAGTAAAAAATAGGAAGAAAATATGTATTTATATTTTTTTCCTTCCTCTCCGTAGTTTCTCTTTCTTCCTTCCTTTCTCTCTTTTCTTTCCTTCTCTTTCTTTCTCTTTCTCTTTCTCTTTCCTTCCTTCCTTTTCTTTTTTCCCTTTCTTTCTTTCGAAGGGAAGTAGCTCTTAAATAAATGCAGGGAATGGCGATGGGGGATCAACGCACTGTTAAGCAGAAGCGCTAGCTTATTTTAAAGAAATAAAATAATTACCCGATAGAGAAAAAAAGAAACCAACCAAGAAACAACCTAAGGTCATGACACCATGTGTGGTACAAGGAGCAATTCCATCCATAAGGGCTTCATTACCTCCGCAATAGATAACATTTGGCTCAATCCAGCCGCGGATTAAACCTCCGGGCACAACAGAGCGCTGAATGGAGGGGCTCCTTTTTGTGTGGTCCATCTCCCGACCTGCCCGAACCATTAGCCCAATAGATCCCGCTCCCTATTAACTGCAATTCCCCGCCCACTGCGTCTCCGGGCTCTCCGGGGGCGTTGGATGAGCGGGAAACCAGGAGAGGAGACGGGGAGAAAAGCGCCGGGTTAATGAGTTGTAGCAAATCCACACTTTGTAGTTGGGAGGAGGAGAGCCGGTGGCCAATGTTTGTCCAAATGGTTTATTTTTGGAGACCCAGGCTATTGAGGAAGGCTTGTTCCAGCGGGCTCCATCCTTACAAACACGCAAACATCCTTCAAAGAGACCAGGGCTGTATTTGCATGCGAATGAGGAGCCCCGGGGGAGACGTCCTCGCCCGGCAAAGGCCTCGGTGGTCGGGCGGCCTTTGTTCCAGCACCTGCTCGCCCCGCGGCCTCACCGGGCTCGCCCCGCGCTCCCGGCTCGCGGGGTCCACGTCCACGGTCCCCCGCCCGGCCCTCGCCCGCCCCCCGGCCCTCGCCCCGCAGCCCAGATTGATTCCACTGCCGTCACAGCCCCCAGGGCACCGGCCCGCGGCCCTCGCTGCTCCCTGTCTCCCCAACTGAGGGCCGGGCCGGGCCGGGCCGGGCTGACTTTTCCTTTTGGCTCAGAGCTCACTAAACGCTGGCGGTCTCTCTAAAGGGTACGGACGAGGCGGGGACCCGAACTCGGGGGCCGGGGCGAGGCCAGCGCTGGATCGCCCAGTGCTTACCTGCCATGGCCTTCCCTTAAGGGCACTGACAACCTGGGAGGTTCGGCCTGTTCCGGCACTTTCTTTTAAAAATGCGGGAATCTGAATTTAGGGATTGGCTGGGATTCCCTGCTTTCAGGACTTCTAAGCCTCCTGCAAATAACGACACGCAAGTGTCTGGTTTTGCTCTCTTCGTCATGACTTTCACAGCAAAATGTCACATCTACACAATATAGAGTGCCTGTGCCTTTGGGTTCCGCCCGCTAACGCCTCCCCACCCGGGTGGCAGCGCCATCAGATGCCCTCCGTTCCAATGTCCCCTTAGCCAGGACAGAATAAAAGTAACCTTTGCATATATGACGTTTGCCTAACCATACTTTGATTTGTATCGATAGGTTTAGTGATAAGTTTGAGGGTGAATGTGTTTACTTTAAACTCATTTAATTTCTTCCAAGCACTTTTTTTTTGGGGGGGGGGGGCAGAGACTGGATTTAATTTTGAGACAGTGAATCAAGTTTTTTTTTCCTTCTTCTTCTTCTTCTTCTTCCTCTCTCTCTCTCTAAAAATAAATGAGAGAGGACAGAGATCCAGAATGCATGTCACTGCAAAATACTGGCCTATAATTCAGTCTTTGATAACTTGCTAGGTTAAATTTGCAGATCTTCCAATATATACCTGTTCAGACATTTGAAAAACTATTCAGTTTTTACTTACACTGCAACTCACTGGTAATAAGCACTTAACCTATGTTTTACACACACCTTGGTTTTACTTGAAGCCCTCAAAAACATTCCCAGTCTCACATAACTTCAAGATCTAAAAATTGCCCGCAATAAGTTTAAAGAAAACACATAGAATTTGAAAAGAGATTATGTCATCTAAATTGTATAAATATAGTTAGTTCAATAAACACCTGATGCATTTTCATTTTTATTATTTACTATTCATTCAAACTAAAATTTTGATGTTTGCATTTTGGGATAAAAACTTCTTTATGCAATTACTGGAATTCCTTCTGTTGAGGAAATAGTACCTTTACCAGGACTTTCAAATACAACTTATTTTGTATATAGAAATATAAATATACAAAATATATTTGTATATATTTTCTTATTCAGGACTTTAAAGCTATTTAACTGATGATCATGTCTATTACATTTTTAAAACTAAAAACTGCCTCTTTACTTGTGATGCTTCTGTTATTATAATACTATGTTGCAGAGTTTTCACAGACACATACAATATTGTGCTCAAACATGAGTGAAAACTGCTTGAAATGGGGAGCTCAAAAATGAAAAGGTTCTATAAAGTTATCCTAGGGTAACAGTGTCTTAAATTTTAAATCGCCTTAATAATCACCAAAATGGAATGGAATGAGATTTGAAAATGTATACCAAAGTGACGTCTTTTATTTGTAGTCATTTAAAAATAACTTCTGATCTCCTGCAATGAAGTTTTTGTTAAACTCTCTTTGAAAATAGCACTTGCCTTTTCTATAATAGGTTCGTTCCTACTTCTCTCGCATAGAAACTTTTTTTTTCATAAAAAAGAAAGCAAACTAAGAAGGGGACAATTGAAGCAAATTCTTTTGGTGGGTTTTCTTTGAAAAGTAAGCATTTTATTTCTGAAAAAAAGTGTAAAAATCTTACATTAGAATAGTACAATTGCCCGTAAAATTTACAATACTCCTTGTAAAGAATATGCAGTAAGTACAAAATAAAAGTTCCACGTGTCTATTATGGTACAAAACACAGGTTAAAATAAGAAATAATTTTGACTTTTTTCCTTGTGTAAACATGTGAATTGTTTGTGTGTGTGTTTTTCTCTTTTTCATGAAAAAGCACACCAGACAAGTGTCCTCAAGTAAAAACTATTGCTTTGCTGGCATTCTTCAGGACCTTTAATATTTTTGTATTCGCATTTTGAACATTACTGATTCATGCCTGGACCTGAGCATCTCTAGACCTCAAAAAAGGCTTTAGAATGTTTAAGATTATTTCCCCAACGTAAAGGAAGCCCCTGGTGCCTCGACAGGGCGGACCCCACCAGCACCCTCTCCCTCCTAACCCCGGCTGGAGGCCGCCGCACACGGCGACTTTGCATAAATAGAAGGACCCGCGGGGCCCAAGGCGCGCCGATCGGTGGCCACACAGTCTCCTCGGAGAATCCGAAGCGGCGAGGACCGGGGTGCGAGGTCGGGAGGGGCGGGCTACACCCACCAAACCCACCGAGAGGAGGAAAGGAGCGGGGTCCTACCTGCGTCCTCGCGCGCCAACAGCGCGTTCCTAACAATTGGAAATCCTAGCGGTAAAGGGCTCCACGCCGGACAGGGCGGCGCCTTGGTGCAGCGTCCCCAGCGCGGCCGACGAGGACACGGAGGAGGCGGCGGCGGCCGCGGCGGCCACGAGCGAGCGAGTGAGCGCGGCCGCGGGACCCACGGCCGCCTGAGCCGCGCAGCCGCCGCCGCCGGGTCCGGGTCCTGGTCCGGGTCCGGGCGCGGGCGGCGTCCCCACGGGCGAGGGCGCGGGCGAGGCCTGCGCAGCGGCGGCGGCGGCGGCAGCGGCGGCGGCGGGGCCCAGGCTGCCCCCGATGATGCTCTCGATGGAGAAGGGCGAGCGCGTCAGGGCCGAGGCGCCGGGGCCGCCGCCCGCCTTGGCCGCGGAGGCCGGCAGGGGCCCGGGCATGGCGGCGGCGGCGCCGAGCGGGGGCGGCCGGTAGGCGAAGGCGGTCCGGGCCAGCTCGGCGGCCGCGCCGTGCGGCGGGGGCGGCGGCGGCGAGTGCGGGTGGAAGGCGGCGGCGGCGGCGGCCGCGGCGGCGGCGAAGAGCGCGGAGGGCGGCGGGTAGGGCGGCAGCTGCAGGCCGTAGCCGCAGCCGTAGGGGCCGTAGCCGTAGGCGGGCGGCGGCGGCGGCGGCGGGAAGAGCGCGGCGGCGGCGGCGGCGGCGGCCGGGTCGCCCGCGCCCCCCGCGCCCCCGGCCCCGCGGAGCAGCAGCGTCTCGGCGGCGGCGGCGGCGGCGTTGGGCGGGAGCAGCGGCTGCCGCTTGAAGCGCTTCCTCCGGCGCAGGAAGCTGCCGTTGTCGAACATGTCGGCGGACTCGGGGTCCAGCGTCCAGTAGTTGCCCTTGCCCGGGTTGCCCGGCTCGCGGGGGATCTTGACGAAGCAGTCGTTAAGCGAGAGGTTGTGGCGGATGCTGTTCTGCCAGGCGGGGAACTTCTCCCGGTAGTAGGGGAAGCGGCCGCTGATGAACTCGCAGATCTCGCTCAGCGTGAGCCGCTTCTTGGGGCTCTGCAGGATGGCCATGGTGATGAGCGCGATGTACGAGTAGGGCGGCTTCACCAGCGGGTTCTTGGCGCCGCCCGCGCCCCCGCCAGCGCCGCCGGCAGCGCCCACGCCAACGCCTCCCGCGCCCCCGCCCGCGCCAGCCCCGGCCCCCGCGCCCGGAGCCGGGCCCGGGGCCCCCGGGGAGCCGCCCGCCCGCGGGGCCAGGAGGAGGTCCTCGTCGTCGTCCTCTTCCTCCAGGTCCTCCAGCTCGTCCTCGGCGTAGGAGCGGCGCCGCCGCGAGGCGGGGACCGCCAGCCGGGGCCCCCCACCGCCGCCGCCGCCGCCGCCCTCGTCCTCCTCTTCCTCGTCGTCCTCGTCCTCGCCCTCCCCCACCACGTCGATGTCGGTCTCCTCGGCGAGGCCGGAGGCATCGGACATGTCCGCGCTCAGGGTCATCGCTGGCGCGCGGCGTTGGTGGCTGCGGCGGCGGCGGCGAGGGGGCGCATAGGGGCGCCGGGCTCCGGGCTCCCGCCGCGCCCCAGCCCTGGTCCCGGGCGGCGGGCCGGGCCCCGGGGCGCCACGCTGGGGGTGCCGCCGCTCAGGCTGCGGCTGCGGGGGCTGCGGCGGGGCCGGCGCGGCCGGGGCTGGCGCTGCAGCGACTTGGAAACTCCAGCGCCAGCGCCTCCGCCTCCGCCGCGGCGTCCCCGCGGCTCTGCGCCCTCGTGCCCCGCGCTCCCCGGCCCGGGAGGAGCCCTTGACCTTCCCCTCCGAGCGCCGCGGGCCGGGTCACTGGAGGAGGGGGTGGCGGGGCCCTGGGAGAGCGGGTCGGTCGGACGCCGGGAGGGTGTGGAACCGGGAGCCCGGGGCCGGAGCTCCGGGAGGGAGTGGAGGGCTGAGACCAGGAGAGGGCGGCCCTCCGCGCCGCTTATAGCTGGAGGGAGCCTGTCACATGGTGCGCGCGTCAGAGCGCGGCCGGGGGAGCGTGGCGAGCGCGGAGACCCGCTCCGACCGAGAGGGAAAGTTCTCCTGGCGGCGGGAGCGAGGGCCCAGATGGAGCGGGAGGGTCCCGAGTGCCCTGCCACCAGGGCTGAGACCCGAATCACGGACTGGCCCGCGGCGATCTGTCTCCTGGGCAGGAGGCGGGGTTCCCAGCCGCCGCCTCTTCAATGAGCGCTCAGCCCAACCTCCAGATGCACCCGGACGACTCGACGGTGTGGCCGCTCCACCCGTGGCCCGTGTGAGCCGCGCAGCCGGGCCACCCCGACGCCCCCTTGTCTGCGGTGGTCCCCGGAGAATGGCTCTGAGGTCTGATGGGTGGTCCCCTCTCCCCTAAATGGGGCGAGTGCCCCCATCGAACCCGATGAGATGCCCCTCCCCGGTTTAAGCACAATAATTGTTTATTGACCTTTTCACCTGCCTCCTTCGGTTCTTCTCCAAAGACGTTTGTTTTCCACCATCTGTTCATAAAAATGCTGTAAGACAGGCGTTTTAGTCACTTATCTGCAAGTGAATGCTCTAGAAACTTGGCAGCTACACTAAAGCCACTCTTAATGAGAGGACCTGATAATTTTAATGGGAATCAAGAAATGATTGAATGCAGAGAAGAAATAGAAACACTTAATGAAAAAACAAATACACACAAAAATTTTATTTAAAAAAAGTTTTTGTACCTGGAAACTCAGTCTTTTCATAATGTGGGAAGGGACTCTCTAGATATAGATAAGAGGAACTTTCTACTCAACGCTTCAGGCTAATCTCCAAATACTTAAATTACTATAATGTACACAAACATCTCTACTCAGGTGGGCTTAATAATAGAAAGTATAATGATAAATAAAAATTCTCAGACCTGTTCTGAATTTTTTTTAATCTAAGTATTTCCAATAGCTACTGGTAAAAAAAGAATTGATTTAAAAAAAAAAAGATTTGAGTTCTAGTCAACTCAATTTTTCTTTTCGGGTGACAGTAAGCAAATAATTCAAATATGATTCTATTTTATGTATACTTATGTTTGTCACCAATTCTAATTATTTTGGCTAGTGAAAAATTATAATGGCTGTGAATTCACACTCCCATAGTAATACCTTTTGGATTTTGGCATTTCCTAAAACACTTCTATTTCAAAGTGGGGAACTTGCCTCAAATTTCTGGCTTTCTAATTAAAATGACCACTTGACAAGAACTGAGAATCAAAACTCAATGGCTTTCTGTAGGAATCATCAGCTGCCCTGGGTGTATCAATTTATCCGGCCAAGTACTTTTCACATTTTGAAAGGTTTCATTATTCCCCTTATCAATCACGGAGCCTCAAAAATAAACTATTCCCCCATTTAAGACCTCTTTTTAAATCGAATTTTTGTTGCCGAGAACAGCTACCAAACAGTTACACTTACAAATGGCCCGTGAAGTTCATCATAGATTTGAAAGGTCTATGAGAGTGTCTCAAAGTTCTAAATAAATTATTTTTCATTGACTCTCGTTTGATATATGGCTGAACCGTTTAATTATTGTAATGGGGTTTAAGATTAACCTGAGCCAACATTAATCAGCACTATTAATCAGGCATTACATTGCTTTGTTGTTGTAGCCAAAAGTCCTTACCAAGGAGTTCACTTTTATAATTTGAAAGTTTAAGTTCCATAAGTACTGCTCAGTCCATATCTAAATAAACACCATGATTTTCGTTGGACTGGGGGTTGGTGTGTGGCAAAGTATTTAAAGATGAAACGGAGAAGAAGAATTTGTTCTCGGACCATTAGTTACTTTAGAATCTAAAGTTACAGCCCTCGTTCTGTGGTTGCCACTGCCCTGAACTTGTCTGGCCAAGAAGGGCGCAGAGATTGGCCTGGCGTTCAGCTTATAACTGTCTGAAGGTCCCTCCCCAAAGGGCTAAAGGGCTCTTCCCTAAAAATTTTTTCTTGTTTTAAAAAGTGGCAAATTATTTTCTGATTATTCAGGAGAAAGTGTTGGGATTGATTGAAGGTTGGGGCGAAAGATCAACCCAGGAGGACGGCTGCAGGGTCAGAGTGTTAGCAGAGATTTGGGGGAGCTTTTCTAAAGCCCCACATTTGGGCAGCCCCCTTGCTCTGTTTGTTTTAGTTAAGCTACACATTTGTATGTGAGTTTTAGCTCTGCGCTAGTAAAAGTCCCCCAGCGCGGAAACCCCAGCGTTTCATTTCCCCCTTTGGCCCCTTTCGCCCCCCCTACCCCTCATTGCCCTCCCTCCCTAACGAGCACCCCGCTCTCAGCCAAGGCTGGGAACGCCGCCCCACCCCGCCAAGCTGGTAGGAGGAACGAGGAACATTTCCGTGAAGCGGGCCGGGGACCACACGGTGACCCCGGTCCTGCGCGTCCTGCTGGCGTGGGTGCAGGCTCTGGCCGGGCGCCTACGGGCCATTGGAGTCCGCATCGGGGAGGGCTGCCCCCTGGCGGAGGCCAGGCACTGTTCTGGTCCAGGCTCTAGCCGGGATCCTGAGGCCAAGATCCTTTCCCACCGAGCACCCCTCCACTCCACCCCCCTTTGCTTTTATTTGCCTGTCCGTCCTCCCCAACTTTTTTTTTTTTTAAACCAGGATTGTGCCAGGGAGGAGCGAAGGAGACGCCTTCAGCCAGTTACCCTTGGCCTCTGACAGAGAAAGAGCTCCTCCGTGAGGACCCAGGACCTCCTCAGATGGGCAGATGCTGGCGGAGACCTGGGGTGTAAGTTCCCCAGACAGAAACCCAGGGGACTCCTCTCCGGGCTGTCCCAGTTTTATGTCATACAGTGCAGCCCAGGAGTTGACCCGTGAACATGAACCTGGATGCGTTTCCAAATGGCAGATGCTTTGGGCGGCGTCCCTCCCCAAAGAGCCATTCCACAAGCTGTACTGAGATGCTACATTGTGGCTGGCAATAGGCTCCGGAGAAAGAAGAAAGCAGGAGTCCCATGGAGGAGCTGGGGAAACAGACCCTTGAGCCCAATAGTGCTTTCTACCAGCGAGTCCCCCGCTGAAAGGGAGCGGTGCTTCAGGACCCTGCCCAGTTGTTCCATTCCTTCATCTGCGCTACCCTGTTGCGGTTGTACCTTCTCTTTTTATTTTTAATATATTTTATTGATTTTTTTTACAAAGAGGAAGGAGGAGGGATAGAAAGCTAGAAACATCGATCAGCTGCCTCCTGCACACCCCCTTCTGGGGAGGTGCCAGCAACCAAGGTACATGCCCTTGACCGGAATTGCTCCTGGGACCTTTCAGTCGGCAGGCTGACGCTCTATCCACCGAGCCAAACCGGTTTCGGCTGTACCTTCTCTTTTTAAATGCAAACATCTGGAGACCAAAAAGAGCTCCTTGTTTTTCCTGTTTGTTTGTGGTGTGCTATAATATACACAGAATAAAATATACCAGTTTAAGTATACAGTCCAGTCATTAAGTACATTCACATTGGTGCAACCGTCAGCACTATGTCTAGAATTTTTCCACCATCCCAAACCGAGTCGCTGCACCCGTTAAAGAATAACTCCCATTCCTCCCACCCCACTCCATCCCCAGCTCCTTGGCAACTTTGATTCTACTTCTCTCTATACATCTGACTATTCTAGATACCTCATATGAGTGGGATCATTACACTATCTGTCCTTTGTGTCTGGCGTATTTAATTTAGCAGAATGTCTTCAAGGTTCATCCATGTTGTAGCATGTGGCAGAATTTCATTCCTTTCATAGGCTGAAAAACATCCCACTGTAGGTATGTTGCACATTCTGTTTATCTGCTCGTTAAACCCATTGATGGACATTTGGGTTGTTTCTTCCGTTTTTGTTTGTTTGGGGCCTCCACTCACCTAGCTCTTTGTAACACTCTGCAATGCAGTCGGCACTCAGCAGAAGTTTGTTCATTTTCCTGTGCCCTTTCACCTCAGAAACCCTCAGGGGAACCAACCCCATCGCCCTAACAGAGCACACGCATTATTGCCGTCACAGTAATGGTTTCTGCCGTGCCCATCTGAGTTTGTAATCTCCACTTGCTTATAGTTTTGAGACTTTCAGACTCAGACTCTGTACATTATGTTTAATTTTAAAAAGTAGAACTTAAAACCCCTCCAACATTAGTTCCAGGTGAATGTGTGATCATTCCCCATGCCACATGCTTTTCACATCATTTTTATGCCTTATTATCTGTCTTGATTCTTGGGGGCCCAAGATGGCCTTAAACGTTTTCTCTGGTTGTCCCGGGCCCTCCACTTGGCATTCTCCTATGCTGTAATATTACCTGTCAGGAGTGTTGCCTCAGACATGCCACTGTACTCATCTCAAGGTCACAGTAACTGGTGAAGTGGGTACCTCCAAATGATGGCTGAAGAGACAGAGGTGCTAGCTGTCATGGAGGTCTCAGCAGCAGAGAGAGCCTCCCTTCATCGAGTTCCAGTTCCAGAAGCCTCGCCCAGGGCAGTCCACCACCAACATGGGCCATGTTGCTCCACTC